AGCCACATGTGGTAACAGTAACTGAGCTGTCCTTGTAAACACAAGTTGCAGTGTCTCAGTGACACATCATGTTTAAACAATTTAAAGACCCTGTCAACATTTAAAGCACTGCATTTCTTCTAATGTGAATTCTCACATTTTTAGGCTGCTCAAGTGCAATCCACAAAAAAGGTTTTATAAATCAATTTGAAGATGACTAAAATGTGGTACAGTACTGTGCATACACTACATTTCCACATGCCACCACCATTCAAGAAACTATTCCTAGAATGTGAACACCTGTTGCAGACAGAATTCAATGAGACAGAATAGGGGGGCTGTAAAGTCTATGATCTCAAATTCCTTTGATGGCATACTGTAAAAGCTCTGTCACAACAGTAATAAATCAAGAGCAGCAACATGTTATTCACAGGAGGAATCCTACAATAAATTACACAACATAGTGCATTCCATACCTCTGTCATTACTAACAGACTGAATAAGCACTTAAGAGCCTTAAAATATTAATTCAAATGAAGTACTTTGTGATAAAGCGAAAGAGCAGACAGCTAAATCTTTACTATTTCATACTTCCAGAGGTCAACAATGGTGAGGTCGGCATTCGAGAATGAATTTCTATGCATGTCCTTACAGAAATAGCATCAGTGTGACTGTCAGCCACAATAGCAGTGCTTCCCTGGCATTAATACATTAACCACACTATTGTTAGACTGATAAAGACTTTACTTTTTATTATTCAGGTAGCCAAACACAGGATTTGGGAAGATCAAATGAAGGGGTCAAAAACAACCGAGAACTCTTTTAGCTTAATGCAACAATTTTGTTTTGCTTCTTTTTTAAACCAGTCATGCATTGTTCATGTCGAGAAATTTTAATTAAAATTACAATTATAAAACACACCGGACACAGTTAAGCTCTATAAAACTCAGGTCTCCAGCAGAGAATTGTAGTGCTATACGGCCTCTTAAAGCATCAGTTCTGAAATGCTGGCAGCAGTAGTTTGGTGCAGGAATGCTAAACCCTGCAGCCCTAGTGGTAATAATACCAGGTTGTTTAAGGGGTCACCTGAGAAGTGCTAAACCCTCACACCACACATTGTGTTGTGTGCTAAATCCTACCTATTTAGGGCAACTAGAAAAGGAAGAAAGGTAAAAATAATCTATAAAAAGTCTAAATTAATTCAAGAATCACTGCTTTGTTTGCTCTGAACAGCAGTAAAGGCATCCTGAAAAGGCATTTAAAAAATATCCAGAGTGGAAGCATTGTCACCCACCCTTATTTCACATTCAGGTACGGATGCTTATTGGAAAATACAGTACTGTGATCACATAAACCAGTGCATGGGTAGTGCAAGAGAAGTCCAACCCTGGTCCTGAGAAGCTAGCCATGGTCTAAAGAGTTTTCTGAGCACTGAAGCAGGCAATGTATTCAGCAGTTTAAAAAAAATAAGGACAAAAAAAGAAAATACCAACTCCACAGAGCCCACAAAAAATTGCCTTCTATCCTTGGCTTAGCTGAGCAAACAACTGTACCTCATGACATTGATCAAAACCCATGTGTTCCAAGCCTTTACAGATAATGTAGGGATCACCTGTAAGACCTGCTTGATGCCAACCCCGATGAGCACCAGCTTACTGTGCACCAAAAACACACAGTAGCCTTCTGTATCCAACGATGGCTGTCACCAGCACACAATTTAAAAAAGAACGAATGCAATGGAACAAGACCGAATTCAGACAGCTATGCCGATTTTGTAAATAGCAGGTTTCGTAGCACAGATGATCAGTTTAACCTTTTAAAAAACCGGAAGCTAGTGTGGAGCTACTATACAATTCCTTAATCCTCTCAAACTTCAAAAAGCTGTTTAATTGTAACAGAGTAATAGAGTACTAAAGTACTATCTGAGTCACACTGACACTGAATAACCAATTTACCTTATCATAGTCTCCACCAGTCTTTCTCCATCTTTTTAAATGACACCGTATGATAACCATTTGTGGCCTACCATGTAAACTGAGTTCCTTTGACAAGACACCATTTCAACTCTGCATTGAGTTACAGTTAATGCTTACAAGCAAAGTCAGTTTTCTTAACGACCTCAAAAAAAAAAAAAGAGACTGTGGTTATTGAGAAGCAGGGTTACAGCACTTTCAAAGATCAGGACGTTACTAAACCAGAAAGCAGGGAGGAGAAATAGAAAAGCCAGAGAAGAAGGGCTTGGCAACGCTCCGTCAGCATCCGTGAACATCACCACTTGCCACTGACAAAATTAATAATCAAACCCTGCTGAAAACAAAGCATTCTATATCAGCCCTCTGACACATCTGGGATTCTGCACTCTCTAGCTCTTCATGTCCCTCTTCAGTTCAAAGGCACAGTCAATCCTGCTGTAGTGGTACTGTTCAAGAAATAAGTTGAGATGAACCAATTCAGGTATTCTTGGAACAGGCCCCCATCCAGAATTAAAACTTCTTCAGTTTAATTTTCTAAAGTCTCAACCAATATCCAAATTAGAGAAACAGGGACTTCTTCAAAAACACATAGGGTATGTTTTACAAACAGTCTTAATATGCAATGAAATGAATATTAAGCTAGTCAGTGTTTAATGGCAGCCGTTATCACTGCCTTACTTCAATAAGCCCACATAGAGAAACTAAAAAAAGCAAGCAGAATAGATTCCAGCAGTCTACAAGTAACACTGGATATGTACCAAATACCCGGGACTATACATTTCAAAAAGATTCACACCTTGGAACAAGAAACCAGACAACAAAAACACAATATTGACAGGGGTGTAACTATGTAAATATGTAGGGAAGCACAATCTCTCTGCAAGGTCTGTCAACCTAGGCTACTGCAATGAAACTTCAAATTTATGTAAAACATGCCTGATAAATAAAAGCCACTCAAAGGAAACCTTATCTACAAATCCAATTATCTACGGCTCTTTAAATAAGAGAGGCTTGAGGAAATAAGCTGAAACCTCCTGAAAACATTCTTGCAAAAATGATAAGTGCGTAGAGGAATGCTGGGAGACATTTTCCATATGCTTAACAAAACATGTATTTTTAATGAGAATGTGCTAGACAAACAACTTGAATGATTTATTTTATCCGTGGAATATATTAAATTTCATGTTTTGAAAAATCAAACTACCTAATGTGAATGCACCAACAAGAAAGCTCTTAAACCCTTACTACAGCAAAACATTAAGCTTTCTTCCCCTTTTTACAAAACAGTTTAGTGAAAGAATATGAAAACAGATTTCAGAATGTTTCAGAAACACAAACAATTACAGAAATTATAGATCTTGTTTTCTACTGAGAGCACCACAGAATAAAACTAGAAACTGTTGCAGGAAACTAAATATGCATTGTATTACAAAATAGAGATTCACAGATTTGAGTTTCGTTATGTTAAATTTAAGAGTGACAACCCAGTGAAAGTTAAAGTGAAAGACTACTTCCCTTTCCTCTTCAGTCTAGACTTTTCACTTGTGGTTTAAAGTTATTTTGAAGTCTGAATTAGATACTTTGGGTGTGTGTAGGCAGTAACATCATTCAAAGGTGCTGCCTGCATATAAGGTCAAGTCTTTAAATTTGCCTGGGGCATCAAGATCATGAACACAATGTTTTAGAATATCACTGTCACGTACCCAACACCTCACTGTTTTAGCTCTATATTATTACATCCCGATGTCGCAAGAGAGACTCCTAAATTCAATTGCTTTTACTAACTTCCAAAAAACTGCAAGGTCCCACCTAGAAAGCGTTATAAATATAAACATATTACTTTAGGAAGACCCAAGTTTATAAACAACAGTGGCCAGCTGCAGTACCTTAAAATCACTGCACCACTAAATTTGGAGATTCCAAGTGCTCTTCAATGACTGGAGAAGTGAGAAGAAAATTAAATTCAGCATCTTTTCCAGGCACAGCACCAAAGGCTGTCCAAAGGTAAGAAGACAGTGATGCCTCTGCACTGCAGAGCAACTGCCTATAGCAGATCAAATCATTTAATAAAGGGCTCTCTCTTGTCTCTACCATCACATAGCTTTCAGCTAACTCACTGATATCTACAATAATCAGTGAAAGGAACATATCCAAGCATCTGAAATAACGTGAGAAATAAAAATTGCAAAAGCCTTTTTGGCCCACAATATGAGAAAAAAAAACGACAGGGTTTCCCGTTTGGCAGACTTAAACATTCTTCTTGGGCAGATTCAACTCCAAACACCACATAAACAAACGAGGGCTTGGCGTTGAAAAATGTTTATATCTTTAAGACCTGAACATTTTAATTTTCAAGTATTTATGCTCATGTTTTAAAGCAAGACACATCAGTCTACATTTTATATTGCACATTTGCATGGCAAACACTGCTAAAACAGTCAGATTTCAACAAGGACTACATGATATACAATCAAGAAAAAAAGCTTATGGTCTATTACGGGATGTTTTGTAAATCTAAATGCAGAAAACAGATTTACTAGGCTTAACAGGCAGCATAATAAAATATTTCTAAGGCTGTAATACTACAGTCCTGAGAAGACTGGCCAGGTACATTCCCAGGCTCAAAGGGATGTCTTACCTCGAGAGGCTAAAAGAACTCCGACTTTCATCTTAAACAGCGAAAAACTACAAGTCGACTTGACTTGAGTATTCAAAATCCTCTAAAACATCGACAAATCCACTGAACTTTTTCCAGATCGGCAGTGAAAGAAAAACCAGAAGACATAAATGAAAAATAAAGGAAACGGAACTTAAAAGTGAGAACTGGAGGCAATTCCTTATAGAAAGCATTTGGATTGTGGGAGTCCTGCAATGAGGTCAACATAAAACAATCAAGGCAAGTTCGGTTATGAATAATCAATACATAAATCTGTGTATGGAACTAGAAATCATTCACTTTTCAGATAAGTGAAGGTCAACAATTTTCTTCTACTGCCTTGAACAAGTTCAAAATATTCCCAGTGTTACTGAAGTAGAAGCTCATCTTACCTGTGGCTTCAATGAAATCCACACATTTTTCAATGAACAGTGGGATCGGCCGATCAGGAGTAACGAGGTTTTGCAGGGGAACGCCGAAGTAGTTGCTCTCCCAGTTTCTTCTCGTAGGTGGGTACAGAGGCTTGGTAGACTTTGGTTTTGACTGCAACACATATGAGGAAAAAGGTCATTTGCGCGTGCAAAAGAATGTTAAAAATTCCAACACGATTCATCTGCCCCCTTCCACCCCTGACCAGAAACATACCTCTTTCCGATACTCCATTTGCCTTACCTTGACAATTTTTTACCACATATGAAGAATGGGAGTGGGGGCTAAGTAAACTAATGGTGGAAAGCAAGTCATGGCCCATCTCTCGGCCGGAGTTTTACATCCATATTTTACAGGACTACCTAACAGGAGTGACCAACATGGCTTGCTCTGTAAGTGAAGCATTTTATTTAGTCAACCTATCCCAGATACAGCTAAACCGGCAATGCAGCTGTGGCGAGAGACTAGTTAACACGGATATTTTCAATGCAATCTACCTGTCCCCAGGGTATACAGCTCTTTTAAGAAAAGCTGATGCAAATGGAAGCTGGCAGATTTAAATGTATCTGTTAACGCATAATGATGTGAGCAAGGGACAGATAACAGCCAATTAATCTGTGACCCACAGCCGGCATAAAAATAGCAAATAAGAGAATGTGTGCCTAGAGCTGGAGACCCCTGATAGTACATGTGAGAAGAGGCAGCCCAAAACTGCACATGCATCTACCTATTTACCTCTTTACCTCTCTACCATCTACCTTCTTTGTAAGGCCAAATGCACTGGATATCAAACAGTGAAATGAAACAGCTGCAGACACGTTGGCTCCTGAACAAAGGGTCAAGTGTTATTCACAGGAGAGTATGCCATTTAGTTAACATGTGGCACATCTGCTTTTTGAAAAAGGGTGATCTCTCTGTTTGCAGCAGGACTGGTTTTTCTATAGGATTACAGACAGCCCAGCAGTAATAGAACAATCTGAATAATGAAATGGGAGAGGATGTGTTGCAAGTGTACTTAAATTTCATGACTTGCTTTCATTTTCCTGATGCTACACTGATACAGAGCAATGTGACTAGGAATCTCCAGGGAAAAAAAAAAACATCACAAGACACACGTAACTTGCTGAATAAAGCGAAAAAAAAAAAGATCAATCAGACCAGTGGTCTTTTTTTGCTAAAGTGGACAGATTCCTCTGAGATTCACATCCCCTCTTCAAAATTTATGAACAAGACATTCCAAGGTCTCAAATACATTCATTTTCTCATGTCATAACCACCCACCCAAAAAAGCAACACAAAAAAACAAGGTGATCAAATAAACAGGCTCACCCCTCTCACTGAAATGGTTCTTTTTTATTAGTTGTTGTTAATGTTTTTTTTTCTGTAAAACACTTTGAGAAGCCACCTTTAAAGGCGCTATATCAAATAAAGTTTATTATTATAATTGTATGTGTGAGTGTGTGCACGCGCGCTCATGTTGGTCATTGAGAATTTCTGGGGTTCCTATGAGAAGATGACTTGTAGGTGGTACTTGGATGCTTTGGTTGGATTAGGGGTGGTACTTGGTCCAAAAAGTTTGAGAACCACTGTTTTAAACAAATGACTTGCACTGCCAGTGGCAGCCATGTGAACAATCTGTGGGCAATGACTTGCCAGATTCCCAACTAAACAGTCAACTCAAGTTAAGAAACTTGCAAGCCTGAGATTAGATCATTTTCAAATTACTGCAAGCATTAATGTTTATCGTCATGGGAGATGGCTTTGAATATACTAGAGAGAAACGAAATAATGCAAGGTAAAACACACAGGGTTTAACAATTTAACGATGCATTTCAAGCAGGAACTGTGGAGGACTTATCAGCAGATAAATGCTCCACTGATAAAAAATACTAACTTGGATAGACTTCTGTATGGCTTTTAAATCCTGAAAATAGAAAACTACAACCTCTCAGGTGTTTCCTTTTCATTAATGGCATTCAATTACCATATACATTATTTACAAAGGAACCTTTTAACTATTTTTATAGTAAGTCCATGGAGTACTGCATCTCAGAGCAACCTATTGAAAGCTATCAAAATATAATGCAGAAAAGCATGCCTAAATTTACTGCATGCTTTAAGTTTGTCAGAATCTAAGAATGATAAAGAGTACATGTCTGGATTGAAGCTGACGCTCTACAGTAAGAAACTGTTAAGACATGCCTCTAGGTAGCAGATAAACAGAAATTACATGTTGATCTCAACACTGATACACCCTCTCCACATTCTAGTGGCACTTACAAATCTACAGCCACATTCCCTAATCATCTGCAGTTGTTGCAAAATTACAGCATAAGGATTCATTGGAAATAGTCTGAATCACAACTTCTGGCTATTACCTATCTTACTCAGATTATGTCTTGTTCTTTTCAAGGCTTCACTTATTGACTTAGCATTCCAATACAAGGACCCATTAATTTTTACTTACCAGTGCCACTTCTTTTCATTTGATCACTGTGGAACAACAACTAGAAATATTACTATTTTGCTTGAAGAAATAATCGCATATTGGCGTTCTTCACACTGCTATAATAGTGATGGAAAGGCCATACAGTATGCTGAAATGTCATAACCACTGTTCAGGGCAATGCACTTCACTGCAGAAACACTGCCCTGAAGGGCAAACGTGCCCATTGAAAACTAAATGCAGGGTCATAAAAGCAGGGCAGAATTAGACTGAAGCAGATGTATAGCTATAAATCAAAATAAATATTGTCACATTGATAAGTCTGTTAAACCAAGGCTCTTAAAAATACATCTCATGGGACTTGGGTCTTAGGAACCCATAGGTCTGCAAAACCACACAGTTTGCAATAAAAATGTCTATAGACATTATAAGGCTGTTTAAAATCGGAGAGCAAATATTTCCAGATGAACAGTTAATATTCATAGGGTTTTCTTTTAATCACAAATTTTGCAAAGTACTAGGAAACCTTTTATTTAGACGTTTAGCTCTCCATTAAAAGTTTAAGTGAAGCTCGGCATTATAAAATGCAGAGGAATTATCAAAAATGATCTCACCCTTTTGCTTTTATCAGGCTTTGGTTTCCTGGGCTTTCTGGGCTTCTTGTCATCTTGCTCAGGATCAGATGTAATGGCAGGGTTATCAATACCTCCCTTCCAGGGGTCTACAGGAGAGAGCAGGGGGTCCTCCTCACTGCCACGATGGCCCCTGCCTTTCTTCTTCTTCTGCTGCAGTGCCACACCAGACTCGTCATCACTGGCATCCGAGTGAGCCCTCCGGTGGTAAGCTTTCATCTTGTTGAAGAGAATACTAGACCTATGCTTGTACTTGGAAGGCCTTCTCCCGCCCTTCGACAACCGATCAAACCCATTCTCTTCATCGGCATGAGTCCCATGAAGGACCCCGAAAGAGTTCCGCATCTTGACAATTCGGTTTTGACTGTCATCTGGGATGGCATAGATGTCATCGCTGAACCCTTTGGATTTGAGGAGCGTATCCGCAGGTTCTGCATAGTTATCCTGAGCTTCCACATCCTCTGCGTGCGCAAGAGGAACCCGCATCTGCTTCTTCGTGCTCTTCATGCCAGCCTCGATGGTCTTCAGGAGGTTGGGATCAAGTTTCCTGACGTTCGTTTTGGGTCCAATTGGTTTTGGTCTGACAGGCGGAGGCACTTTGTGGTTGTGCTCGTGGTCATGGGTGTTGACGGGGGTGCTGTGGATGGGGTACTCGTTTCCTTCCAGGTCCATCCTGTTTTTGGATGTGCGCTCGCTGGGAGTTGGGAGCAGCAGCACGTCATCTCTTATGGGGCTGTATGGAGGTGGTGCTTCAGTGTCGTCGTCTGAGTCAGGGTAGTAGTTGCAAGCCGGTGAATTCCCGTGGGGGGACTGCAGAAACACGTCTTCGCTGGTGTTGGTGGAATCTCTGGTAGTGTCGTATATGAACATCCCCTCGATGCTGTTCTTCTTTTCAAGGACCTCGCTGAAAAAGGGTGTGAAAACCTCGGTTTGGCGGTGGTACTGGGACAGAGAGTATAGAGCGGTAAACTTGGCTACGATTTCTGTGGCTATGTGCTCGCCCTCAGTCATCAGCTCCTTGATGGCCTCATTTTCAAAGAAGTCCGCCTGGCTGTCAGTGATGGCCACCATTTGGACAGGAATAACATCCTGAACTTCTGCCAGGAATGCCCGAAGCATGGCCATAGAGGATTTGCGCTTTGCTGAATACACAAGTATGTAGCCGTGGACTAACTCATCCTTCCTAATCCCAATAGAGGAGTGATAGGAAAGTACAGTAATTTGGATCCGCCTTCGACTGTCTCCTATGATCTTATCAAGAACCAGAGTGTTGCTTTGACCAGGCTGGGCAGCACTACAGCAATGTGAATCCAAAAAAGGCGAGAGAATAAGGTCCACACTAAACGGATCTCCACACATGGCACACATAACAATTCGCAAGTCAGTCTCTGATAAGTCTTTAATAGAAGGCAGAGGGCTCATAACATCAAAGTTGTGCTTTAGTGCCTCAAGTACTCCCCTCAGAGCCTGCTTTATTTGGGACTCATTAAATTTTCGTGGAAATGAACCAGAAGGTATGTCTACAAAAGTACACTGCAACTTATTAGAAAGCTGTTGGCCCTGATGTCTCAAGATAGGCAGGTTTTTGCAAACACTGTCTCTCTGGTTTGCTAATATCAAAATAAATGGCAAAGGCTGTATATGTCTGTCTTTCCTAATTTGACTAGCCTCAGCCCTTATTCTCCCAATGCAATCGCCAATGAAATTAAGTGACTCTATGGAATTAAAGACACAGAAATAACCATGAGGTTTAAAGGCAGGGGTCAAGAAATGGCTCAGAAGCAAAGCTGAGTTTACATCAATGGGCTTTAGCTCAAGCTCATAGATCTTCCCATCCAGAGTGTATTCATCATCTGTAGACTGAGCACGAATTTCATTTGCCAGCTCTTGTGCTAGCCCATCTCTCCCCAAGAGGTACAAGTTTACTTTATCAATATTGGCACTGTTATGGTACAGACTGGGCCGCCCGTGGTCCAGCTGAACAAGCCTGTTCGCAAGAATCTGCTCCACTTTAATGTCCACACAGCTTTGGCCACTAAGACAGGTCTCCTTAGTAGGATGATAGACAAAGCCAATGTGCTTCAGCAGAAGAGATTGTCTGTCTGGAGCAAGTTTCTGCAGAGCTCTATACCTAGGCTCTTCATTGAGGACAGAGTGTATTTCACTCATTTTATCACAGCTAGGGGTTGCATTTAGATCCAGGTCATAAAACAGCTCCGCATGCTCAAAAAGCATTTCCTGAAATTCCTCTTTGGCTTTTTCCACTATCTCCCGCTGGTGCCGATTGTAAACATCTCTGCGATCAGCTTCGCTGATATACTTGTAAGCTTCATCTTCCATGACAAAACACATAACCTCTTCCCAGGGCTGTCCTGGGCTGATAAAATGCACCCGTTCAAGGGTCTTCTTAAACTTCTCCTTCATCTCCACCCGTTTTTTTTCAGAAATTAAATGCTGTACGTGGTTCTGATAAATTTTCTCTCCTTCTGGTGTTCGAAGCAGATCAAAGGGAATTCTCCTGTCATTGACTTTGTCAATGTGATCAGTCTCATCCCAGGGGGTATGATCTAACACAATAAACCAGAACTGAAATTCAGATCTGCTTTTCAGCAGGTTCTGAGCTTCTGCCCAGTTCAATTTCTCAATCTCCTCCAGGTTACTGAGTAGATTATTAAGAATTTTGGGTAAGCTTGAAAAATACTCCTCCCTTCTTTTTTTGATATGTTCCTGCTTCAGCTGTTCTATGTGCTTAGAGAATGTGTTTCTAGCCTTCTTGGTACCTTCCAAGTTTATGTACTCTTCATAATCAGGGTGGTTCTTTAATTTATTACTGATAGCTTTCCAGCTCGTGTGGTAATCTTTTACCGTTTGCACAATCAGCTTTTCAAACTTGTCTGTTGCTGTAGCAACTAGCTGTCTCTGAGTCTTATACGCATCCAGATAGGGAATGGTTTTGGGTTTGCCACGTGTTTTATCCATCAACTGAGTCAGAGCATGGAAGCACAACTCAACGTTGACACAGGACCGAGCTGACGTTTCCACCACAAGAATATTCTTCTTGTTTGAAGCAAACGCCTGGATGTCCCTCAAGTACTGTTCCACACATTCATCACATTTCGTTGCTGCAATTACAATGGGCTTTTTTGATTTCAATATCTGCGAGTATAAGCTATTAATAAATTTCATCTGGTCATCGAATTTTCTATTGCACCCTTTGCTCACGTCTATGCATAAGACAAACCCATCTAAGTTTAGCCTTCCATCCGGCATCTGCTTCTGGTCGAAATCTTGCTCCAAGCCCAGCTGGTCAGTACAGATGTACATCAGCTTCTCCGCGGACTGCAGCTTCGCCGCCGCGGCCCGCTTTGGGTACGGCTGCAGGTTTGTGCTCCGGTGAGGCAGGAAGGTCTGGTCGTCGATAAACTCCGTCTGCTCAATGACCTGGATTTTGTACTCCAGCCCATCATCACCTCTGTGCAACACCTCACCCCAGTACAGGAAGTGATCATTGTTCACCACGCGCCCTCCAAAGTCTATTGTGCTCAACACAGAGGTATGCTCTGGGAAGTAATCATCAGCCTTAGGACGCACATACCTATTGCACAAACAGGACTTCCCAACTCCACAGTTGCCCTTCTCCTTCTCAGTCCCAGACAGGCCAACTACACTCACAGCATATGTTGGGGGGCGAGGTTCCTTGTTTTTTGCCATTATATCCCTCCTGTCATCCTCTTTTTATGTTCACCAAAGTACTCAAGCGTGATGATCATTCTTCATCCATTCTTCCATGGTTACTGATGCTGTAGACCCATCACTTCTAGGGAGGGCTCCTCTCTCCTCAGTGCTTTCACCGGCCCCCAGCTGCTGCTACTCCTCTTAATCAGCTTCCTGCAACAACAAAAACATTCATGTAAAAAAAGCCATCCAAACAGTCTGCCACTTCACTCTGTTCATGTCATAAGGTTTTCTCAGCAAGATACTGTTTAAAAAGGCTAAACAGGAGTCTTCCAGGATGTTTAGAGAACACCGGGTGAAAAGAAATAAACAATTTTAGGGTACAGGAGAGGATGGTTGTTCCAAATTCCACATTTCTGAAATTTTGATTTCTAGTCACATTTATAGCAGGTACTGTAATACCAGTCTCCTTTCTTAAAGAGCTGCTAAATTATACATATCCATTGCTTAGGTTATCAAAAAAAAATGGTGTGCGCCAAAAATAATCTGTTAAACTGTATGGATAAAGTTTAGACAAATATTAAGCAAGCTACCATATTCTACCTTCCTAAACATCAGAAAAACAGCACAATCGGCCGCAAAACGCAAACAAATAAAAATAATTTCTTCATTATGAAGAAAAAGTATTATACACAAATTATTTTATATATTATATGCTGCCACACTTCCCTGGATCATTATCTCCAGAAAGGGAATAAGATGTTGAAACAGCTTTTGCTCATTTCACAAAACGATAATTAGCTTATTTATGATAAAAGATGATAAATTCATCCATCAATAACATCTTAACCAGACCGGATCTGGCAACTCCTACAAAATATTTTAAAAATACTAATCCCAATGTAAAAAAAGGACTGGTCTCCTGCTAATTTGTTTTGCCTTGTCCCTTACAGTAACTAACAATAAAATGTAATGCCACGTTATTCATTCAAATATAGTTGAAAAAATAACACTGGAAATGATGTTGCATGATGACTGTTATTAACTGTGATAAAAGATGGCTTGGATCCTAAGTGTAGGCAGGTGTTAGAATACGTACTAATTACCCTGAGAGAAGGGACCTAAATGAAAGCCCTCTTTGTCCACGGGGTGAGCAGGCGTTTTTTCATGGGAATGAAAAAAAAAACATTTAAAGACATTCTGTACTTTCTATTTTGGACAAGCAGTAAAAGAACTGAATGCATTACAAGAGCCTGGCTCAGCAAATATTTGACACCTAGACATTTTCCCCCTCTAGAAAGTGCATCGCAAAAAGACCTTCACAACATTTTCCCTGTTTTGTTAACTGTCAAGCTGGTTTGCCTTCACATCCATTGTGTTATTCTCTGAGTAACCAGATAATTAATGGTGGGTTTCAATCTTTTGCTGCGCCGAGTGGGTCTGTAATCATCTCAAATGCACTTCACTTCTATTAACAAGTTACAGTAATGGTTACGGTTTCAAATTAGGCTACAAATTTTTGGATAAGGTTAAAATCGTTTCACAGTGGGAGATCACAGTGCTGGGGTCACAATATGTGAATATGCGAGTATGACTTACTGCATTCTTAGTATTCACAGGATGAACCTACAGAACCAACAGACTACAGTCCATTCAAACCAAGTGTAACAAAACATAAAACCCTTGTTTGTATGACAGCACAATCACAGAGTACAAATTTTCCTAAATGTACTGACAGATGGAGTGACAGCACACTGAGTTACAAATATTGTAACACCTTTAAATGATCAAAAAACATTCAGAAAACTGAGTTATGCTCGTTGAAGAAATTCCAATTACAAGGTCTAAGTTCACTTAAAAACATACAGAATGCAGAAGATCAAAAAGAACTGTTTGACAACAGCTAATGAAGATCTGTATCCTAGTACTCTCCAACTCTACCCTTGCAAGCAACACACTAATAATAATAATAGTTTACACTTATATAGCGCTTTTCTGGACACTCCACTCAAAGCGCTTTACAGGTAATGGGGATCCCCTCCACCACCACCAGTGTGCAGCCCCACCTGGATGATGCGACGGCAGATTACCTCCTATCCAGATCTTTATATCCAGACATCATTTTTACGTTTCCTTTAGAAAGCCACTCAAGCTAGCATCATGCAACGCATATAAGAAGCCACACTGCACATACTGTAATGACAAGGAGCTCTACAAGGAGGTCTGACCTGCTTTTAAGTCCCAGACTCCAGGGTTGCTATTTTAATTTTTTTTAAATTTTACAGGTTTTAAAAAAAGGTATAGTTGTTTTTTAACCTGCGTGTCATCATCTTACTCATTCTCACAGCACCATATAACACAATCAGAAACTCAGAGGAGTTTTAAAATCCCACAGCACTGCTCCATGTGTGGTAGTATTTGTAAGCCACTTGCAGAATCCCACACATTCTGTTTTTTTTCCACACACAGTGATGGATCATAAATGAAATGACATCATATCATGAGTCTTATGTGTAATGCAGAATACTTTTAAACTTTCCGATTAGAAAGAAATACTCGAGTCTGGATTAAGCACATTTGACATTTCAAACTTGATTTGAAACGATCAGGTTGATAATGAAAGAATTCCTCCCAAGATCATATTGAATCAGAAAGGAAAACAAAGAGGCCAAAAAAATATAGGTATGAATGAGAACTACCATTTGCCCTTGCCTACTGTGAAAAACTCACTAAATAATTATATTCTTGCAAACAAAAATAAGACACAGGTTATAAAAATGATGATCCAGAGCTAATATTGAAAAAGCACAGAACTCCCCAGATTATAAGACTTTTCTGTGTAATACATACAGTAGTGACACAAATATATTGGTATGTCATCCCACCAGACTAGCACTTTTGCTATGAGCTGTGGGAATCTGGAGCAAACTATCCAGCCATGCTGTCGAATCCAGTGGCTGCCTTCAAATAACAGCTGGATGAGATCTGTGAATCAATTACTACTAACTTCCAAATGGGCTAGATGGGCAGAATGACCTCCTCTCGTGCTTAAACCCTTACGATCTTAGCAATTTCCAGATTTATTTTAAAAGGAAAAATACTCCAGAAGGGAAGAAATATAATTAAAAAAATGAAAAACTGAAAAAAAATCAAACAAGTTATACATGACACAGATATGTGCAGAATGATGCCTGGCCCCCTATATCGCTGTCCACCTTGCTACCAGATGGAAAATTAAGAGCTGGAATGGCAAATGTGAGAACAGTGCAGCTCACAGACGTCCTCTCTGATGAGCTTGTATGCAAGAACAACAATCTTGTTTTATTGGCATTACTTCATTTTAGTGCTGAGACACTTCGGGAAGGTGTAAATGCCAGGTTTGCACTCAATGCATGACTCACGACTACAGATTCAGTGTTGGTTAACATCAGATGATTAAAATAGTTGTCATAATAATAAATCCTCTTTTAGGTTGTTGTTGTTGTTGTTGTTGTTGTTGTGTTTTTACCAAAGCAGCTCTTAGAAGCATTAAATACACAAAAGACTGAAAGCATAGCTGGCTATAGGGGCCTCAGAGGATTCGGGATACATCTTTTTAATATTTCCTTTGCCATCTTCGCTAACTACTGTCAGCTGCTCAATTACAGAGTTATTAAAGTATGATCCCAGGAGAAAGTATAACAACATAAGGCACTTATAACCCCTCAGCAGTTATGTCAGGCCAACTCATCTTTACATGGAAGTTACCTGTTCACAGAGATCAAGGGTAGTGTTTACTGTAGCAACCTTAAGCAATAGATTCAGATGTTCTTGCATAAACATGCCCACACAATGTATTTTTTAAAACATCTAAAAATCACAAATGAACCACTGCCTAGCTCCCATTGAAGGGAAAAGAAAACAGTTTGAAGGGCTGTAGTGTTTTGACAGGCTGATTAAATCAAAAAACCAAAAGGCCGTGAAAGTGCAGTGGGTTTGCCCACTCTGAAACCAACACTGCCCAGCAAGGAAAGTCTGTGAGACTGGAGACAGAGTGCGAAAGAAAATCAGATAAAGTTGTGGATTAATGCACTCAGTCATGAAATCTAGAGCAAGCAAGAAACACTGCAAATAGTATTCAGTGTTCAATATTCATCATCTGCTCATCCAGAGTTTGTTGCCAGACTGCGTTCTTTTTTAGCATTCTACTCAATAATTAACCTTCGGAGACGTATACCTTAAGCAAATGAAATATGTTATGAGTTAGACGTGAACTGCCCAAGGGAATGCTGGAATGGTGCAAAAGCTAATAAAGGGCAGCAAAGGAAGGATTTCAAATCCTTTTCAATTACACCATGAAGAAATAAATTCCACGGTCAAATTAAATACTTAACAGACGCACAGGACAGTAAATATGAATCCCACTCAAGAATATTTTACAGCTGAGGTGGCTTGAAATGGAGCACAAGTGATTAAACTTAAACGTGGAGTACACTAATTAACTACTCTATCCTTAGCTGTTAGAAAACAACCTTATTGTTGTAATCTGCACAAAAGAAATCTAGCTGACCTCATGAGGCAACCAAATAATCTCATTCACAATGCAGTTGCAATAATTGGAAACTGATTAGTTATCTCATTAAGCTTCGAGAAAAGCTTTCATCGCCAACAAACACTTTAAAAGCAGGCAGTAAATAGTTATGTAGAGGAAACATCTGTTATATGTTACCCACACATCCAGCTAACTTCTACACTTTTTTTTGACATTTTAGGAAAAATAAAATGCTGAGGCCCTTTTTACAATAGCTAAGAGGCTCTACTTTGCTACCTAAAATCTGAAGAAAAAAAAAATTACTTTGAATACAAAAATGCCTCCATAACCACGCCTCTTTACTGAAATGCTCCTGATAAAATAACTTCTAGGAACTCCCAAATTGGTTGTATTCTTACTCACAAAAATGTGACATTTCCTGATCTAATGAAGTATTTGGCATGTAAACAAGAATACCAAACTGCATCCCATTTAACAGCCTGTGTCATATTGCACTGAAAAAAAACCCTTCATACTCATTGCGCCGT